ATACTTGACATTCAATAATGTTCACCATCCATGAGGAAAAGATTGTATTGAAATTTTAGTTTAAAAAATGAGCTATCATTACAGCATTACATCACAGAGTATATTTTATTGAAGTATTTCTTTGTAGACGCAGTCATCAATGAAAGTGACTTGAATTTCTGTTGCAACACTCGTGAGATTTTCACTAAAGAAAAACAAATAATTTTTTTAGGTTTGTTTTTGATTGTTTTATATTTGAAACTTACTCCTTTTCTGTAATTTTTATTGGTTAAATCTAAAACAAATTTGTGCAAATTTCAATTGTTATATTTATTACTCAGCTATAAAAATACTGCCTAAATATAAAAACATTACCCAGTTCTGATTGGTGCGGTAGTTTCCGAGATCCGAGTTTTGGACGTATACATCGCACTCTCCATCATAATAAGATTCAGACTTACCGCTGAACCACTAGGGGGCTTAAAAACAAGGAAGCTTTTTGTATGACAAAGTAAACTTCTTTGATTCGTATTCATAAGCCTATACATACACTCTATTTTTGTATGTAAACGTCTATTGTAACTATTAAGCCAGATCTGTATGACATACTATTAACCTGTGGAACTTGTCCCTTCACATTGTCTAACAAAACCCATACCACAGCTATCTGAGTATGCAGCACTGAACAAGTGAAGAATAACAATAATAAACACTGGGCAAATTCGATGTCAATAATGTAACAATAAAAAATATCAAACACACAGTTCTAAGGAATTACCCCTTTATATCCTAAGTCTATTTTTACACAATATATATATATATATATATGTGTGTGTGTGTGTGTTATATTCCACTAGGGTTTTAAGGCTTATAGTTAAACATCTCTCTCTATTTGTTTGGTTAGTATTAAGCACAAAGCTCTACTCATGCGGCTGGAGTAATGACGAATAATACGCCTTAACCCTTTAAAGTGTGACTAACAATTCGGGCAATTAAAAAAGTCAAACCTTTTTATATTAAGCACATTTTGCTATGAGTGTGGTTAAATGGCAAAAAGTAAGAAAAAGAAAAATACTTAAATAGTTTTAAAATGTGATATGTTTTTTACCTTGTATGAAATGTTTTTCGTAACATTATAAACAGTCAGAAAAAGAAACAATGACCGTAAGCCTAACTTAAAAATAAAAATATACGGTATCAAACAAAAACATATTCAAAGGATGAAATAAAGACTAGCTTGGCGTGGATTTAGATTTTAAATAATTCATTACATATACTCTACTACGAGATAGTTTCGAATCAACTGTGAATCACTATCAAGAGTACAGTAACGGTTGTAACAGGGTTGTTAAAACATAAGTTCTAAAATTATAGTGCAGGAATATTGTTTTTTTCATGCTGTTCTTTAGCTTTATCACAATGTAGCTTAAGCTGACAATGGCTGGGAGAGTACAGATAATTTTGTAATCTGAGGTAGGGGAAACATTAGAAAGCACAAAAGGTTTACAGTGACGAGTACTAAAATCATACGTACTTACTGTCCAACCACGTATGTCGGTAAAGTTCGTTCGGTAATTGGCTAAATGAACCTCCCTCTAATTTCGATTAACATTTGTCAAAACTGGACATTCTTTTTACAAATTAAATGCACATATGCTATGTAATAACCAGATATTAATAAAAGAAAAATTATAGAAGTTTTTAATCCTCATATTAACTCATATCATTCAAAAAGTTCACAAGGCATTTTAAAATTTCGTTTCTGTAGTGATGGTTGCCTGGCAACCTTCCACTTACCATAAACACAGACGAACTGGATGACCACAGCACCAATCCCAGAGCATTTCTTATCCATATGGTCAAGTTCATAGCTGTATCGGCAGTAAGTAATGCCTGAACATCTGAATAAAGGTCAGTGATTATTGAATCTATTTGTTGAATGTTTATCAAGATATTTTTACCATAAATAATACACATTAATATGTTCAACGTAAATTACAACAACAAAAAAACTTATCTAAGGAAGACGACTGATGAAATAAAAGTCAAGAGCACAACTAAAATCTCTTATTTTTTGTATTTTATAATGCATTTCCATAACAATACATTCATTTTTCTAGGTCAGTGGTTGTCAAACACTGTAGAGATAAGAATTTTCAACGTAAATCTATTACCGACTGTTAGTGTATTAAGCGACTCGGTTGTTTCTACTTCTTAGTAGTATTCAAATATAGTAGAAAGGGTTGTTGTTGTTGTTTTGAGCAAAGCTACGCAGTGAGCTATATGCATTATCTCCACCGCGGGAAATCGAGCCGTAAACTTACCGCTGACCCATTAGGCGACAGCAGCAAGGGAAAATGATATAACACTACTGGCAAAATGCATAATACTGCATTTATCACAATAGTGATACTTTGATTTATGATACATGAAGAACTGCTTCCTTCTCCGTGCTATGCCTCCCAGTGATATTTCTGCAGACTTATAACGCTATACACCAGATTTCGATACCCGTAGGGGTAAAATAGCCCATTGTGTAGATTTGTGCTTAACTACAAAGAAACGAAAACTCCATGCTAAGTTTAAACACTCATCATGCCAAGGTTGTGCAACACTTATTGACACGCTCGGACTACAAAAACGGTTTAGACGGACACATTCACAGCGTCTAAAGGACGATCAAAGGTACGTACTTCACCTTAAGCTTCATCAAACATCAACATCAATCTCACTCACCAGTGTCATGGGCTGGTTATGCATAGGCTTATTATTAGGCTAAAGTTAACTTCTACTGCGTAAAATATCCTTAGCCTAATGGACTCATTATTTTTACTCTTTATAGTAAACAGTGCTGTTTACAGGAAACATATTTTTTACTCTATAAATTAAATATTCACTGGTAGTACTGATTTACAGAAACTGACGCAGTCAATTATGTCGTCATCTTCACTCGCATGGTTCGTTACTTCACGTGGTTAACATATCGACAGGTGTACAGCTAGACGTATTAGCTCGTGATTACTGTAACTGATCTCATTACACGAAAAAAGCTATTGTAATATATTTATGTTGGCCCCTCCAAGAAAATCGTGGCTCCGCTCCGTGTAGATTCGTGGGTAAATCTATTCGTAGCTAATTTATCATGCAGCACGCTTTCCAGTAATATTAGTACAGTCAAGCTTAATCACTGACTTCGCCTCAAACTCAAGTCTAAGCTGCTCATTCTTTCTCCAATTTTTCTTTACTAAACTGTCAACAAAGACGTGTTTCTCTTTCCACAGCCGATAGGCTTCCCTTTATACAGAGCTGAAACCAGCAATGTTGACATGATAAATTAGTAACTAACAGATGAGAGCCTCCATGGTAACTTACACCAGCAAAACCTAGATGGTAAATTGATTACTTACACCAAAGAAGCCTGCAAGATAAGTTGAACCAACAAAGCCTGGATGGTAAGTTGGTAATTTATACAAGCAAAGCTGGCCGGGTAACCTGGTAATTATATCCAGAGTATAAGTGGAAAGGAAATGTAAAATATAAAACTGATTGACTCACAATTTCAGTTACAACAAATGAACGAGAAATGGTTTCACAAGTTCATTCATGTATATTATGGTTTCACAAGTTCGTTCCTATATATTATGGTTTCAAAAGTTCGTTCCTGTATATTATGGTTTCGCAAGTTCATTCCTGTATATTATGGCTTCACAAGTTCGTTCCTGTATATTATGGTTTCACAAGTTCATTCCTGTATATTATGGTTTCGCAAGTTCATTCCTGTATATTATGGCTTCACAAGTTCGTTCCTGTATATTATGGTTTCCCAAGTTCATTCTTCTATTTTATGGTTTCACAAGTTCATTCCTGTATATTATGGTTTCGCAAGTTCATTCCTGTATATTATGATTTCACAAGTTCATTCCTCTATCTTATGGTTTCCCGAGTTCATTCCTGTATATTATGGTTTCGCAAGTTCATTCCTGTATATTATGATTTCACAAGTTCATTCCTCTATCTTATGGTTTCCCGAGTTCATTCCTGTATATTATGGTTTCACAAGTTCATTCCTGTATATTATGGTTTCACAAGTTCATTCTTCTATTTTATGGTTTCACAAGTTCATTCCTCTATCTTATGGTTTCACAAGTTCATTCCTCTATCTTATGGTTTCCCGAGTTCATTCCTGTATATTATGGTTTCACAAGTTCATTCTTCTATTTTATGGTTTCACAAGTTCATTCTTCTATTTTATGGTTTCACAAGTTCATTCCTCTATCTTATGGTTTCACAAGTTCATTCCTGTATATTTAGACTTTTATATATATGATCTACTTCTTTATGTGACAATTTTCACTTCTTACATTTATTTAAATTACTATCTCCCTCTACCCTTTCATTGTCTCATACGGTGTATTTCTGATGTTTACCTTTATGTTTTTATAATACTCATTTAATCACCATTGTTTCTAATGTTTTATGATTGCTTGATAAATTTTATAACACACAATATTTTGCACAAACATTGTTCAATTGATGTTATTTTGTGTAGATTACCTAATCATTTTTAGCATTTTCGTTACATTGACTTTCTTCTCTCGTGCCACACTTTTTAAGATATTTTCTCAATTTTTTCTCTCTCACAATAATCCACTGTAGTTCATGTAAGTTTGTTAAAAATTGTTCGGGGCAATAAAAATACTTCGCTTCCTGGTATCCCAACTCGCTGTAATAAACACGTGCTCTTGAGCAAAAAGCGCGGGATTTTCAAAGAATGAACGCGGATGACCTCCCCTTCCTATATTGCATGGAATACGTAGTGTTTTTCTCACAGTTCTAATATCAAAACAGGATATCCTTTCACATGTGATCAATAAGCTATTTATAGCCACCTTAACACAACTTATATTAATGACATCATAAACATGTTTGATCTAGATGCAGACTTAGCATCAAAATCACATATATTTATGGCAAAATCATTCGTTAAGCATCGCATCGAAAGCCTTTAATTGAATGTTATAATAAAATATATCTCGAATACAGAAAGTTGAAGGGTCGGCATTAAAACTGTTTGCGTACATCGTATATAAGAAAAATTATTATGAGTCACTAATCCAGAATTTAATTATCTAAAATATACCCGGTCTGTGATGGACCAGAGTTTAATTATCTAACGTGTACGTGGTCTGTTGTGAATCAATATATAATTACTTAATATACAACTATTTGTGTAGTCTGGTATGGATCATTGTTTTATCATCTAACACAAACGTATTCTTTGGTATGGAGTAAATTAGTTTTTAATTACGCAACATATGCGTATTCCATAGAATAGTATGGAACATTGGATAATTGCCTAACATATCTGAACTTAGGTAGATCCTTGTTTCATTATCGAACACTTATTTGTTCTTAAAATATTTTCTTAATTATACTAATAAGCATTACACAAATATAAACTTATCCATATACTAAGTCTAACTGTACTAAGTACTACGTAAAATATATGTAATTCTGCCTGTTTCATTCGCCCTAATTATAATTATTCTTGACAAGTTGGTTTCTTTTATCTAAAAAAAAAAAACCCAAGTGGCACAGAGGTATGTCTGCGGACTTACAACGCTAGAAACCGTGTTTCGATGCCCGTGGTGGGCAAAGCACAGATGGCCCATTGGGTAGCTTTGTGCTTAATTACAAACAAACAATCCCCTAAAAAAATTTGAGAACTGGTTGCTCAACTCAGCTTTCCCATTCTATTTAGTTTTATGTGACTGGAAACAATGCAGCTAAGTTTTTTTTTACAATAAAATCAATTTTATGAGTTTTTCTGATAATACAATCACTTGTTTTGCTTTACTTAACAGTATATTCGCTTATTCAGGTAATTGGTTGTCAAATGTTTTTGTTCGCCTACCACATATTATTATTTTTACCTTGGTGAACCACAGTAGAATCAACAGATGTTGCGTACGTTATACCAACCGATTTTGGAGCTCTCACCAGGTTGTTAAAGTCCATGTCGCCACATCCGACCATAACTATTTGACGACAGTGCATCTTGAAAAAAAATACTGCGGCGTTGTTTCCATTGCAAAATACTCCATCGTAAGGCTGTCATATTCAGCCAGGCACGCACCTTCTCCCTGAAGATTTCCATAATAAATCTAGTATACGAGGAGAACGGTTTCCCAACCCCCGTTTTAACTGTCCGATCGCAACGTGATCAATATGTCTTCATATGGTATGGCATAAGTACCCATTTCAATCTCCAGCTGTTTGAAGTACGTACTGGTTGAATTGGTACGTAGTGGAAATTTTTTTTATATGTGTGCCTTGTGTCGCTTTTCCAGATGGAGATCCTTCTTAACTATGTTGCATACTGTTGCCTGGGTCGTGTGGACGGTTTTTCACTATTCACCTTTCTGTTACAGGATTCCACACTTTGCTTAACACGAATGGGGTACGACTTGTTGCAGGTCTCTTGCTGAATGGCCGTGAAACTCCATGTTGATCCATATTCTTGTTTTTCGAAGCGCAATTACTGTAAGGGATATTACCTCCTCAAAAATTCTGTATCTCCGACCTGAACACAACTTTAAGAGCTAAGTGTATGAATATTTTGAGTCAGAAATGGCTGTAATATAACCTTTCCAAAAGCGATCAATCTTCAGTGATATCACACTACCTACAAAATACCAAACAATGTCAGAATGTAGTTCTGATACGTTCCATCGTGACTTTATATCGACTACTGTTGTCATGTGACTTGCTGATTTGCATATTCAAATTCGTTTTAACATATCTAACCTTATATACACTAGGCTACTATTTCCTTTCCATACTTATGCAAAATGTCTACAAACCACATATTGAGAACCGCTGTCCCAGGTATCTCTAGTAA